TTGAAGTTCCTGAAACTGAAGAGGATCAAGGTGCTCCAGGATTGGCCAGCCCAGTCACCAGACATGAACATTATTGAGCATGTCTGGGGTAAGATTAAGGAGGAGGCTTGGAAGATGAAACCAAAGAATCTAGACGAACCCTGGGAGTCCTGCAAAACTGCTTTCTTTGCCATTCCAGATGAGTTCATCAACAAGTTATTTCAGTCATTGCCAAGACGTATGGATGTGGTCCTCCAAGCTCATGGGAGTCATACACATTATTAATTTTTTTTTCAAAGGCACCATGACTTTATGTTCTGATGTTATTGTAGCATGTTTGTGTATTCTAAATGTATAATTGTGTGTCTAATGTATAATTTCTACATTATTTTTGTATATGACAAGACTTTTGTCCAGGCAAAAGTTGACCTTTCTGTCCTAATTCCATGACAAAACTCAATGAATAATGCAAAACTTTATTTTGGTATAATAAGCATAATCTAGAGGGCTTTGCCTTTTCTTACAAGTCATTTCTGATTCCATCTGATTAACTACAGGTCAAGTTATTATTTGTTGTTCCTACAACTTGGTTAAGTGACAAGACTTTTGTCAGGCACTGTATAATGAAACTAAAAAGTAAAAATATTAAATTATCAAAGCAATTAAAAAAGGTTCTTGAATGCATAGGAATGTTGCAGGCATTTCATCGAGAATATGCTATTTAACGGTAATACAAAAATACTGTGGCAGTCTAGTGAGTAGCACTGTGGCCTCACATCTTTGGACTTTAAATCTCACCTCTGCTCTGTGTGCATCCCCCCGATGTCATCTTGCAGTCCACAGATATGCAGATTAGCTCAATGGTATCTCTAATATGCCTATAGTGTATATGCTGTTGAATCAAATCTAGGTGAACTGGGCAAGTGGTTGCAGGATGGATGGATGCAACTTATTTGATGAGAACAATAGTCAAGTGGGGCTTTATTGTCATACCACCCATATTGAGGTGTACAATTGCTGTAATAGTAATGTTCCTCCAGGTGTGGTGCAACATGCAGACTAATAGAGGGTAAATGAACATGCAAATGTGTACAAGTCGTAGTGTTCAATAGGATAAGGGATTGAACACCGTGAGACAAGGAATTGTACAGCATGGAGACATTTATGTCATCCATGCACTTGGTGATGAGACCAGCGATAGATGCTGCATGCTCCTCCAAGTAAGTGTGATGACCATAGCTAGCAACTTTGTTCAATATGTTCCAATCTGTGAGATGTGGGTTGAAAAGCTGAGGTGGAGGTGGAGTGTGCACATACAAGGCCCATGCTCCTCCTTCTGGTTGGAAAATCAACATGCCAATGGAATCAGCTTACTTGTGTAATTCTCAGTAGCTTTGCTGTGGTTCATTTTAATTTTCAAATTCGTAGTAATATTACTACTGCTTTCCTTGTCATTTCATATCAAAATGAATATATATTTTTTAATCGATACATACAAAATTACACAGGAATTTTAAAAATACATATATTTCTCTTTTTAACAATGTTACTACATTCTCTGGAACCGATTACAGTAGTAATCAACATTTGATAAAAAGCAGTACAGCAGTCCCTGGGTTAAATGGACTGCATTTATATAGTGCATTTCTACTCTTACGAGTACTCAAAGCGCTTTACAATTTATGCGTCACATTCACCCATCCACACGCCGGTGGTGGAGGCTGTCATGCAAGGCGCCAACCTGCGCACCGGGAGCAATTTGGGGTTCAGTGTCTTGCTCAAGGACACTTTGATGGGGTCAGAAGGAACCAGGGCTCGAACCTGCAATCCTCCAGTTGCTGAACGATAGCACTACCTCCTGCGCCACCATCTTCCCCAAGGGTTAAGAACGTACGACAACTTGTACTTACGAATGAACTACCATGAACCCTATTATATTAAAAATTTGAGCTAGATACAATGGGTCATAATAATGAAAGCATGCAGTACTTTGTAACGCTCATGAAAACATTGCATGGCTTCAGCAGTTCATGGGCTTGAGGTGCAGTGCAGTACCGTATGTAGTTAATTTTACTATTGCTTTATTATTATTTTATGCTTTACTATTACTGTTTTGACTTACAGTACCTACAAAATCAACTTAAAGACAGACTCAGGGAACAGCTCTCATTTGTAATGTGGGTATTGCCTGTATATAACTTGTCAGTGTAAAGCCTACTGTATGTAACAGAATATCATATTTTTGGATGTATACAGCCTTTGGGACATAGAAACCTATATGCAAGTATATGCTTATTTTTCAATTATCATTAAGCATAAATATTTTTTGTATCTTGGTGACCTTTATCTACTGCAAGGCTCATCTCAAGAAGACGTCTGGGAAAAGATTTCCCAGCAGGAAGAGATAGATCAGGGGGAAGAGGAAGAATCAAATTAATGCCATCTGTTCCCATTCTGTGATCCTCTGCCCCTGCCTCTCACAGTCAGTGCAGAGAAAAAACGCATTGTTCTAATTCTGTCATATTATAGCATACACTACCAAAGGAACACAAAATAGTACTTTTTTCTGGTGTCCCCTATTAAAGCTGAGACTGCTTGAAGTACCATAGGAAGGTTATGTTTGTGGATATATTGAATATTAAATTAAAAACTAGTCTACTACAACATGAAGAAAAGTGAAATATAAATGAAAAGAAAATCAATCATGTTAAATTTAAATCTATCATCAAATTTTATTTCATGAAGCATGGCCTTTTAAAAGAGAATCCCATAGTTCCCCAGTTCTTTGCTGAAACCCACATACTAAACGTGGTAATTAGCTGGTGAGCTGATTGAGGTGTGTTTGAGCAGGGAAATCTGTGTTGCAGACTGGCTCTCCAACACTGGAATTTAGGAACCCTGCCTTTTATGTTGCTAAAATGTGCAGAAAATTGTGATATCTAAATTAAAGGTTGTGAACTAGCATTCCATAGCTAAACTACCGTGAAAGGATGTGTGCAATACAGTGACTGTAATCTGAAGAAGTCATGCAAAGCAGGACAGCATGATGAGTGCAATACAGAAGCTCTGGTAGATCTAGATATGGTAGCATCACTGGCAGGTGGGACACAAGCATGAGGAATCCCTGAACACCGGCACTCCAATGACACATGAGGTTGCATGCAGAGTGAGAGTGCATTCATCCTGGAGCCTATCCCAGGCAGTAGTGGACAAAAGATACTGTGGAGATACTGGCATTCTCGTGGATAGAGTGCAAGGCCATTGAATGGCATATATATGCACACACTGAAACACACTCCATGGGCAACAGAATAGGCACCTTTTAGTCTACCTGCATGTTTTTGGAATATGGGAGGAAACTGGAGTACCTGGTGAAAACACAATTTTCAATTCATACAGTATTAATACAGAATTCAATTTATATAAGAATCAGAATCTTTATTATCATTGTACAAGTACAACGAAATTGGATGCAGTCCATTTCAGTGCAAAATAAAAGGCAAATAGAAATTTGAATTAAAAAGCTAAATTTCTGAATAAAATGTAAAAATAAATAAATAAATGTACATATTTATCTACAGTGCATTGTGCCGCAACTGTGGCAGTTGCAAGGACTTGCACTGTAGTCCATATTGCACATGGAGATGAAGTAAAGTATACAGTGAGGGAAATAATTATTTGACCCCCCTGCTTAATTCTCAAGTTGAATATTAATTGTTATTAATGAAGAAACGAGAAGTCTGTAATTTCACTGGTTATCACGCCCCGCTCCGTCCGATCCTGATGTGTGCCACGCCCACCTCGTTACCTCATGTTCATCCCCGATTGTGATCACCTGTGTCCTGTTATTTCTGGATAGTCTTTTGTATTTAGTCCAAGTCTCAGTCTGTCTTCCCCAGATCCGTCATTGTATTGTTGTAATGTTTAGTTGCCATCAGTCCTGTGTAATAAACCCCGTTTGCCCGTCTCACCGGCTTGACTCTCGTGCTTCACCGCTCGCCCGCCGGCGATCGCAACAGAATGACGGATCTCCACAGTGCACCTCAGCAGATCGCGGACCAACACCTCGATCTGCTGAATGAGGTGATTTACTGGCTGGAGCCGCTTCTCCGTCACCCCGTTGACGAGCTGCCGGAGGTTTTCGTGCACTTCCGCCATTACGTGTGCGTTCCCGGACGTCGACATCTCGCTTCAGAGTGTCCCGCTCCGGCTGGCTAAGTCCCGCAGGTGGGGGTCCTCTTGGACCTCCGGCAGGTTCAGCCAGTTGGTCCGCGATCTGCTGAGGTGCGCTGTGGAGATCCGTCATTCTGTTGCGATCGCTGGCGGGCGAGCGGTGAAGCACGAGAGTCAAGCCGGTGAGACGGGCAAACGGGGTTTATTACACAGGACTGACGGCGACTAAACATTACAACAATACAATGACGGATCTGGGGAAGACAGCCTGAGACTTGGACTAAATACAAAAGACTATCCAGAAATAACAGGACACAGGTGATCACAATTGGGGATGAACACGAGGTAACGAGGTGGGCGTGGCACACATCAGGATCGGATGGAGCGGGGCGTGACACTGGTAGTTTTTTTTTTAACAGTAACAATAGACAGATTATCAACAAAACAATCAAGAAAAAATCATTACTGTATGTAGCAGTTTCAAACCAATTTGTCATTTATCTAGGGAAATACGTATTTGGTCCCTTAGAACACATGCTTTAGTACTTGGTGAAATAACCATTGTTGGCAAGCACAGCTGTCATTTTTTATAGTTCATCACCAGGTTTGCACACAGCACAGCAGGAATTTTCATCCACTCCTCTTTGCAGATCTCTTCCAAATATTTAAGGTTTTTAGGTCGTCACTTGGATACACAAAGGTTGAGTTCCCTCCATAGGTTTTCTATGGGATTAAGGTCTGGAGACTGGCTAGGGAGCTCCTTGACCTTAATGTGCTTCTTCTTTGTTGCCTTAGCAGTATACTTAGGGTCGTTGTCTTGCATTTTTCATTTTCAGTGCCCTGGCTGAAGGAAGGAGGTTCTCATCCAAGATTTTACGGTACATGGCCCCATCCATCTTTCCTTCAATGTACGCTTGGCAGAAAACACCCCCAAAGCATAATGCTTCCACCTCTGTGTTTGAAGGTAGGGATGGTGTTCTTGGGGCTGTAGTCAGCATTTAGTTGATGCCAAACAGCTCGAATTATGGTCTCATCTGACCACATCACATTCTTCCAAGCCTCATTGGAATTATTCAGGTGTTAATTGGCATACTTCAGACTGGGCCCTCTTCGACAGAGTTACTTTGCGAGCGCTGCAGGATTTCAAATCATAACTGCATAATGTGTTACCAGTGGTTTTCTTGGTGACTGTGGTCCCTGCTGCTTTGAGATCATTAATGAGCTCCTCCTGTGTACTTCTAGGGTTAGCCCTCGCCAATCTTGAGATCATTGTTGCTGCATGAGACAAGATCTTCCTTGGGGTGAATGACAGTTATTTTGTCTTTCTTCCATTTGTGAATAATTGCACCAAGTGGTCACTTTCTCACCAAGCTGCTTGCTGATGGTCTTGTGGTCATATTCCACCTTTGTGAAGGTCAAAAATCTTATCTCTGAAGTCCTTAGACAGCCCTTTGGTATTTTCCTTGGTGATAAGGTTGAAGATGTAGACAGGTTAGTGATCCAAGAATACTATTTAACAAAGTAATGCCATTAAATGTGAAAGCTGGATTGGTACTTAATTAAGTACTATTTGTGTTGTGTTAGTGCATATGTACTTGACCTCATTTCTTGCTGGCTTGTAGGGGATCAAATAATTATTTCCCTAGATAAACAACAAATTGATTTGTACCTGTTACATAATGATTTTTTTTTCTTGTTTGTTTTGTTGTTCTGTCTTCTGATGCTAAAATAAACCTACCAGTGAAATTACAGACTTCTCATTTTTATATAAATGGGTATAGTTAGGAATTCAACAGGTGGTTAAATAATTATTTCCCTCGCTGTATGTGAAGACAGACATACATTGCAAAGGAGGTGCAATATTACACAGAGTAACAGAGTTGCACAATGAGAGATTGGATGATCATTCATTTAAGTTTGTTGTTCATTACAGTGATGGCCCTAGGATATGTACTGTTTTCCAGTCAGTATGAGCTATAATTGCTCTGTACTGCCTGCTTGAAGGCTGCAGTTCATACAGGTGGTGTGCTGGATGTGATGATGTCCTCCAGGATGCTGCTGGCTTTTTTGTAGCAACAGGAACTGCAGAGCTCCTCTAGGGAGAGGAGAGCACAGCCAATGATTTTCTGGGCTGAGTTAATGACCCTTTGCAGTGCAATTATTTCTTCAACAGTGCACCTTCAAACCACACGTGAAATCAGTAAGTCAACACACTTTCTATGGAGCACCAGTAGAAGGACTGGTTAAATGGTACAGTCCACATTAGGGGTGTTTGAAATAGTTTTACATAAAATCTTCCTACAAGGTGAGGTTATTTTTTTTTTCTTTACAACAAAAGAAAAATTTTAAGACCCCCTCTGCTATTTTTGTCTCTTTGGGGGGGTCTGGGTCTTGATCAGGGGGTACAGTACCCCCCGTAATTTGAACCATGGCCTCAAGTCTTTTCGACTATAAGTGATGCTCGCCCAGCAAACTGTGGGTGAAATAAGCAACAGAACATACAAAAATAAACAAACGGAGTACCGAAAGGAAGACCTCAGAGCCGCTGCGTCTATCTGTACCACCATCTTAGAAAGCATATAGCACTTTTCACAATACAGTTGCCTCAATAAGTGTGTATGGCAAAACATTGTTGGTTTCACACCTCATTTTCCATTTTGATATCCAAAATTTTTAATAATCACAGAGCAAAGGATAGCATGTGAGGATGAGGAAGAGAAACAGGAAAACTGAGTGTTAAAAAGAAACTAAAAAAACAGAAAGTATACCAGTAATCCCCCATTACAGCTCCTCACTGTTAGCCATTCAAACATAAATGCTCCTTGTATGAGTTGCCATTCACAGCTACTGGACAACAATGGAAATAAGCCAAGTTTCCACCCTGAAACTGTCCTAACTTAGCCCATCTAGAGGAAATTACATCCCTTCACTTTCCAAATAAAATGTCTTGTTAAACTGCCTATAGCCTCTCCCTTTTTACACAGCGAACCTCCATGCCCTGACCCATAGCACAGGCAATACAAATTAGCCCGGTAGTTTAGTGGATCAATTAAGGTCGGGACTAAAATGCTGCCACAAGAAGAACCCAGCAGCTATTTAGTAAATACCATAGCAGAAAAAATACATTATAAAAGCTCATGCGCTGAATATAAAAGTGAATGCAGTTTCATTGTATTTTTTAAATTGGGGGTGGAATGTGGTTCAGCAGATTAGACCTCCTTGCCTGTCAAGGTTGGTGGTTTAAGCCTTGGCAGAATAGTCATATCTCCTTTGGGCCCTTGAACACAGCCCTTAACCTCCCAAAAAAGCTCCATGAGCACCAAATAAATGGCCTGACCCTGCACTCAGACCCCAAGATTCGCTCTCAACTGTATATATACACCGATGAGTCAGAACATTATGACCACCCCATGTGACAACAATAACGTGCTATCTTGTAAAAACAGTGCATGTCAAGGTCTAGGAGACCTGCTACATATGTTACTATGTAGATAAGGATCAGACTTGTTGGTCCCACGTGTCCCATAGATGCTTGACATGTACCTGGCTGCCCACATGACACAACAGAAAGCAGGATTCATAGGGCCAGTTGACCTTCTTCCATTTCTCCAAGGTCCAGTTCTAACACTCATGTGCCCAATGCTGGCACTTTTGACGGTGGACAGAGATCAGCATGGCCACTCCGACTGGTCTGTGGCTAAGCACTTCTGTACACAGCGAGGCTTGATTCACTGTGTATCATGATACATTACTCCCATGACCATCATGAAAATTATCTTCCATATGTAACCTTCTCTTGGTTCATACTACACGGGATAGTTACCATATAATACCTCCCAGATCTTGACATACAGTACACAGTTTTTATGAGAAAGTCAACATTATACACTTCATGTAAGGGTGGCCATAATGTTTTGGTTCATCAGTGTATATATTTATAGATAAGTATTATATGGTAGTAACCTAATAACAATATGCTGTGATTAAACATCAAAGCAAAAGTAGCAAACAAAAAAGATAAAAAGATAGCAAAATGGTACACCTAGCTTGATTGAAACTGTATATTAAAATCTAAAAAAAAGAACTATTGAAAATTTCTAAATTATGTCCCTGAACGTCATTTTCACTGCCAATGACTTTTGCATGAAAGTGAGGGTATATGGAGGTAATAACTGTTGTTTTCTTGGGATATGTTAAAAACTATACATTAAAAAAAACAATTCTTACTGTTTTGCAGTAAATCTGCTTGACACATCTTCAATATCAGGTGACTGGGGGTGGCAAACGTACCCATCACATGGGGTGAGTAATCAGGATGCCTTTTTTCTTTTTAAAAGCTAAAACCAATTATATATGTTAAGTTTTTGTGCTATATAAGTGTTGAATATGTGTATGAATCAAAGAGTCAGGGATACTATTTATACTCATATTGTTCTATCCATCTATCATCCAGTCACTTATTCAGTACCTGGTTGCGGTGAACCTGGGCTTATCCCAAGAAATACAGTCATTAGGCCAGAGACACTCTAAACTGGATGCTACACTATCCCAGCGTGTAAACTAACACACAGTCACTCATTAGGGGCAGTTTCGAAATTTGCATAATCTCTCAATTCGAACATGTAAACATGTTCATTTATTGTCTGTGTACTAGGGAGTCTCTAGCAGCTGGAAGCAAATTCCTTGTGTGCCCTAGCACACTTGGCAAATAACGCTGATTCTGATTCTGATCATCAAACCTGTAACATTGGCAGTATGTAGCCACAGCCACCACTCCCATGCAACAGTGGTTTAATCAGTACAGAAGTAATAATAAAATCCATACAGGAGATATAGGAACATATAAGTAAGAAATGCCATCATTACACGTTAAGCCACATTTATTCAGTAGACCATACAGCTAAAGGAAAGTAATATGCATTTATATTATAGTAATATATAAATATGTTTCATGTTAACTGTAAAGTATGAGATTTATGTTACATGAGTGGGACATCCTGATTTTGCCAAGTTTAGTGAGTCCCTGGGTCAACAAACGAGAGGCTTGCATTGCACTTCTTTAACCAATCACAGTCTTCATCATATGACATAACCACATTGGTCCATTATTTTTTCTCATTTTCAATCTCAAGGCTTCCAACCATAAGGTAGGCAGCGGTGTGGCTTAGCGGGCTAAGGCTCTGTGCTTGTGATGGGAAGGTGGCAGGGTCAAGCCTTTTTATTATTCTTGTTTTAATTATCATTATTATGATTACCCTTATGGTGGTGCAGTGGTTAGCACTGTTACCTCTACCTCTGGGCCCTGGGTTCAAGTCTCTACCAGGGTTCCATATGTGTGGAGTTTGCGTGTTCTCCCTGTGGGGTTTCCTCCAGTTTTCCCCCACAGTCCAAAAACATGCTGAAGCTGATTGAAGTTACCAAATTGCCCATAGGTGTGTGAGTGTGCCCTGTCCTGGGTTATTTCCTGCCTTGCGCCCTTTGCCTCTGGGATTGGCTCTGGACCCCTGTGACCCTGGATAGGACAAGAGATTTCTGAAAACAGATGGACTATTACCCTCATTTAATAAAGGCACTGTATTATTATTACATTCAAAGTTCATTTTTGTCTTAATTCTGGGATGGATTCTTAAGTTTGGGAGTTCTGGGATAGATATTATAAAATTATTAGTCTACAAAATTTAATGCATAAGGTAGCATAGAGATTATTAAGCTCCCTAGTAACCAAAAGGTGACCAGTTCAACTCTTGGGATCTCTTAATATTCAGATGTAGAAATGACTTTGTATCAGTTCATATCATCTTCACATTGCTGTTCTTTCTGAGGGCCTCAGTGACTTGTAGCATGGGTAACAAGAACTCTTTTTCGAAGACAACAGAATCTAGCTAATCCCTCTAGTGTTTCCTGGCTCTTCCATCCATTGAGACTTGTCTAGGTCCCTCGGTAGCTGACCTAGTGGCATCCTTATAAAACAGTTTGCTAATTCTGAGCTGGATCTGTTTAGCCTTGAGCAAAGGAGACTAAGGGGGGACATGATCCAGGTCTATAATATTCTAACAGGTCTGGATGCTGTTCAGCCAAATGGCTATTTCAATATTAGTTTAAATACTAGAACTCATGGCCATAAGTGGAATTTAGCGGGAGAACATTTTAAAACAATTTGAGAAAGCACTTCTTTACACAGCGTGTAGTTAGACTATGGAATAGTTTTCCTGCTAGTGTAGCGGAAGGTAAAACCCTGGGTTCCTTTAAATCAGAGCTAGATAAGATTTTAACAACTCTGAGTTATTAGTTAAGTTCTCCCCAAACGAGCTTGATGGGCCGAATGGTCTCCTTTCATTTGTAAATTTCCTATGTTCTTAATTCCTCTTGATCTGAAGGTGTGTCAAAAGTTTCATTCTGAATAAGATGACATTTTTATAACAATGATGCAGTATATGTCATGTATATTATCATTTATATGTGTAATTCATATTGAACTATTAAGCTGTATTGTTAAAAGCTGCACCTACATTTTGCATATTAATTTATCTAAATTCAATTCCATTTTAATAGTACTTCCGTAAGTTTAAATTCAAATTCTGCATTGTTTTCAACTGAAATTCAAATTAAATTCAAATTCACAAACTGAAATTTGGAATTTGAGGGCCATTTCAATTCTATTCTGAATGATGCAAGACCCTGACTCCTGCTATACACAGCCTGCATAAGGTCTTCTCACCCTTTCCCAAGGCATGGAATGATTAACAAAAATCAGTTTAGGGCCATCAGATAATCTATCTTCATTGCATTTACAAATGTATTGAACCTAAGAATGTTCACCTCTACAGCTGCCTTCAGTATAGCCTTTCCAGCCTATCAGTACATTTCTGCTGTCTCAGGAAACCCCATGCATGCATTTCGCTGAAAGCCTATTTCTTCAGCCTGACAGCTTCCCTTACCACTATAGTGTCCACCAGCTGTCCCTGTGGATTCAGGGCACAGCTCTTTCTTTTCAGCCTCATTTGGCATGTATGAGATGTTTTTCCAAAGGTATGTGGTGAATTCATCTTGCACATTTTATTTCATCTTCAGTCAGATCTTCATTAAATGGTGACTACTTGTTTGGATTGCCCTAGGGGTATGGTAGGCGGCGGAAAGTGGGAAACAGAATAAGGGGAGGTTTTTTTATGGGGGGGTTGTCTCTTCCTGGAAGAGACAAACGCAGTGAGAATGAACGGAATGATTGGAATTGATGGAAGACGATCTATAGCTGGACTGGACGTGGTTTAATTGCATGGCAATATTGCAGTTAAGTGTGTTAAAGGAATGTTTGTATTTTATTTGCGTGCTTGTGGTTATAACTAGTAGAAGGTCTAGGTATTTATTTCCTTGTTATTTTTTCTTGCTGGCTTCTTTTAAGTGCCTGATGGGCAGCATGCACCAAGAAGTTGCTAGGTCAGTTCGCCCCAAATAGGAAGAAGATCGGAGGCAGCACAGTGGCATTGAATGAACTGTGGGCTATTGATCAGCTTTCATGATACGTTCTTTTATGTTTTTACCATGGGTCCATGTAAATGCCTTGTTTTTTTTCCTTTTTGTTTTTTATTTCTGATAATGATTTTTTTTAGTAACGGTAGTGTTGCGATTCGGCGTGCAGCGAGCGGGGAAGTAGGCAAGCGGAGCCATTCTCACGGGTAAACAGGGGTTTAATATCAAAGACACGAACACGCAGGAACATCCACGGACATTACAATGACAGATCTGGGGAAGACTGACTCAGACGAGGACTAAATACAAAAGACAAGCTAGACATAACAGGACTCAGGTGATCACAATCAGGGCTGAACACGAGGTAACGAGGTGGGCGTGGCACACATCAGGAGCGGACGGAGCGGATCATGACAGGTAGTAGTGTGGTTTGCTTGTATTAGTTTTGTTTGCCTGCTCATTTGGTTGCTATGTGTTCACAAGATTGTTTGAATATATGTATTTTCTTCCTTTTTAATTAAATAAATTAGTTGTAACTTAATGGGTTCTGTGGCTCATATCTGGGATTTTAGGACCTGCCTACAGTAAGGGGTATTTGGCCAACATAGGCTGGTTCTCTGACAATAGCCCTATCATTCTCTTTATCTGATTATCCAAAACACATGGCCTCAAGTAAGATGCCGCAACTATAGTGAATCATTGGCCTTTAGCCTAGGGTGCTCTAAGTCCATGTCAATTTAATTTTTATGAGGTCCAGAATGGTTTGTCGAGATTTACAGTAGACATGATAGATAGATAGATAGATCATGCAAAAGGATGTTCACTAACAACTGTTCTGAAACAATTAATGTAACAGTTCATAAATGTATAAATTAATGCATAGATGAATCACCTATTTAATCTGATGTTAGGACTCAGCACTGAACACATTGGCAGGATTCAGACAGCATACAGTGTACAGACAAAATCTTATGGACACTTTGATGACTGTATACTTCCAGCAGTATATTCTGCGCTAATGACTTCCTTATGGAAAAGGGAGATGGGTCTCACTGCATGCACACTTCTGATGACACTGGCCAATCACATCAATGGATGTAAAGGCACAGAAATTACAATGTCCTCCTTATCTTAGGATAAAGAATCTTTTGAATAAACACATTGTTCTGAGTTTTCAACCAGTTGAGGTACATGATTTTAACAGATAGATCTGGTATGAGGTTACATTCTGCCAAGCAAGACCTTTCTTGAGTAAAGTTTAGATACTTTTCAATGGAACTCTCCATCAGAGCTTCACTCTTCATCATTGACAATTACAATGTGAACTTCGCATTGCTTCCATTTGAACATTGCTTTCCTGAGGACATTTTATTTCACCGCATGAGGACCGTCTTTGCCCATCAGCATTCCCCAGCATTTTGTGTTTGTGTCTAAACGAAATAAATTTGTTTCCTAATGCGTTGTGCCACCAGTGGAAGATGACTACGCTGACCGGACTGCTCAGTGATATGTAGCATAAATATCACTCACCAAACCACTTTTTGGGAGAATTTGGCATTAGTGTACGCACTCAGTTTCAGTGTGCCGGTTTTTGACATGTGTGAATATTGTGTAGCTGATATTGTGTAGCTGATATTTCTTGAAAAGAGGGCCCATTAGTTTATCTCTCCCATATATTTACAGGTTACCCTATATTATTCCATCACAGCCAAGCCATCCACTACCTAACTTCATCACCAGTTCTCATGTTCGTCATTCTTTTTATTTACTGATCAGTTTGTTTGTGCCTTAATTCACCTGTTTATTTATTTGTTCTATTTATTCACTTCATTGTCCATTCTTCATATTCATTATCATATTAGTTTTTCCTTAGCAATATTTAGTTGTTCTTGTATTATTTTGTGTCTAATCTATTACAACTGTCTTTCTTGTGTTGATAAACAAGCACTAGGAGTTACTGATTTCATAAATTCCGATTCCTCCAGATATCTCAAATGATTACTTCCTTCATTTTTATGTGAATAATTCTGATTAACTGAATAATCCCATGGATGGCTTTCACACTGCTAATGTGATGAAAATCCCTCCAGCACAGCTGACATGTTCATTAATTTCAAATTTAGTTTTTTACATAAATATGTGTAATCAAATAAAACGTATAATACATGTGTCTTAATATTGGACATCTTAATATATACCCTTACTTTTAGGTTATGGAATAATGTTCCCACTCTTTCCTGTTATTCTAGTGGGAGTCCATCAATGGAATGAATGAATACTTCAGCCCAATACAGGCATATCAAGTTTGTAATGTCAGGAGTCCTGGTCAGAAAAACTGGCTGTGTACTAACTGGATCCAACGGGATGGTGCACAGCATATCTATATTGAGGTCAAGTTCATACTGCGGAACTGCAACAGTATGCCTGGTGTGCTTAGCACCTGCAAGGAAACATTCAACCTGTATTATTTTGAGACAGACCATGATGTTGGGACTAACATCTGGTATAACAGGTTTTCCAAGATTGACACAATCGCAGCAGATGAAAGCTTTACCAGCATGGACCTAGCGGTGCGGAGGCTTAAATTAAACAGAGAGGTGCAAGGGGTTGGTCCCCTAAACAAGAAGGGCTTTTATCTCCTCTTCCAGGATACAGGTGCCTGCATCACTATTGTTTCTGTGAGGGTGTACTATAAAAAGTGCCTGGGGATGGTCCACAACCTGGCCGTATTCACAGACATAGTGGCAGGAGCAGACTTATCAGCACTGGTGGAGGTTTATGGTCAATGTGTAGACAATGCAGCTGAGGAAGACACCCCAAAAATGTACTGTAGCGCTGAAGGGGAATGGCTCGTCCCAATTGGGAGGTGTGTATGCACTGCTGGGTTTGAACAGCAAGAGAACTCCTGTGTAGGTAAGTAAAGACATTTCCTGATTCCACATTTTTAGTACATATTTCAGATTGGTACTAGATAAATAAGTAATAAAAATCAATGTGGTTGATAAGATTTTTAAAACCACTTCACACTGTCCACCCAATTAACCAAAATTAATTATGGAGACACAAAAGAGCAAATATGTGTGTGTGTGTGTGTGTGTGAGAGAGAGAGAGAGAGAGAGAGAGAGTATGTGTGTGCATTCACATATACAATGGTACCTCAGAACTCAAACTTAATCTGTTCAGAACTCCGGATATAATCCTAAAAAGTTTGAGTTCTGATCGAATTTTACCCATAAGAAATAATGGAAAACCAATTAATTGGTTCCCGGCCCCAAAAAAATTACACCTAAATATGTTTTTTAAGAATTTAAACACAAAATGAACAGGATAAAACAAGAAGAGCACATACTGTACTAAACCCGTCTAAGCACATTTATCAAAACAGTAATTTGTAAAGTAAGAAAATAAATGTATCCAAACAATGTGTAAAGTAAAAAAAAAAAAATGTGTTCTGCCCCGATCGTCCGCTCCTTCCGTGTGCCATGCCCCCTCATTAATCCCGTGTGTAATCCCCGCGTGATCAGCTGTTTCTGGTTGTTGTCCGCATTTCAGTTTGTTTCCCCAGTCCGGTCATTGTATTGTCTGTCTGCGTTTTGTCTGCCTTACCTGTAATTTAACCCCGTATTCCCAGACACCCTTACATCTGTGCCTTTGTCTCCGTTCTGTCCCCGCTTGGCATGACAATATTATTATAATTAAATGTATTAATGGTTTATTATCAATATTAAAATAATTAATAAGAAATCTTTATTTTTAAATATATTTTATTATATAATAATAATTACTGTCTATCATTGTCTAAATGTATTTTTACTGTCTAAATATATGTATTCAGCTAGTGTAAACATACACGATGCCATCACAGTGAATGCAAGGCTGAGACTGAAGCGTATACCCTTTGTTTCCGCAGAGAGACGTGCCGCGTGACTCATTTCCCTTCGCATTATTTTAGGTTGGTGTTCACGGTTCGACTTCTGAGATTCAGATCGAGTTCTAGGTCTTTTTTTTTCGAACTGGTTGGTTCGACTTTTAAGAAATTCCAGTTCTAATGAGTTCGAGAACCAAGGTACCACTGTAATTACACATATACTGTCTATCTGTAATTATATACTGTATATAGTACTGTGGAAAAGTTTTAGGCAGTCAGAACAGTATGTCTAAATATAACACCATAGGCACGGAGGGGGGGGATCATTTTCAATCCAGGAGTTTTATGCTCAAGACCAGCTCATTTTGTCTTCATTCTGGGGGAACATCAATGTATTTTTTTATCACAGACTTTTCAAGAATCAAATAATAAATAGCTTATTGAACTGTTCAAGTAGTCTGACATTTTCAGCCCCACCTGGTCTCTTTACACAACCACGCACTGCGACTTACTCAGAGCCAGTTACTTTGTACCATGTCTGAGCATGATTGCCCCCCCTTCCAATTCCCCCACTGGTCTGCCCTCACATTGCACTTAACGGTCCTGGCCCAAGCATGCTTTCATCATCACAGTGTGTATTTTTTGTGCTACAGAAAACATCAGAAGGAAAGCACTGTCATGCAGCATAATAGAATTCATGATAAATTTCCTTATCTTGTGGCTTATTTTGGCCATGGTGACACATGCAGAAACACAGTATGAAACACATCGATTATTATTTATCTGTGCTGCAGGTATAAGAACATAGTGCCACATTTTACCAAATGAGTCTGTGCAGAATAGTATTGCATGGGATACCGATACTGAAAAGTACTGTGGTACCACATTTTTCAAAGCTGTCCAATATTTCATTTCTACCAGTAATAATTACACTATTGCAGACATCGGTAATGTATTGCTATCCATCTAATCAGACTCACTATATCTGAGTGTCACGTAACGCAAGGCAAGTTGGTGCAGGGCACAGAAACAGACATGGGAGTCGAGGAGTTTAGGTAAAAACTCGGGATTTATTAAAGGGGTAAACACGATCAGGAACAGAGAAACACTAGTGATGTTAAGAAATTAATGATCAGACTGGGGAAAGACTAACAAGAAAGCACTTAAATACACAGAATCAATTAGACAGGGCTAGATACAGCTGGTAAACAGGTGGATTCCACATGAGGTAAATGAGGGGGTGTGGCACACAGGAGGCGCAGCACGATCGGGACATGACAGAACCCCCCCAAAGGCACGCACACCGGGCACGTTCAGCCGGACAAGGGGAGGCTGGCACATGACCCAGGGACTAACCGGACAACTCCACCTAGAGAGAGACAAGACAAAAACCATCAACGGGGCAACAGGAACAGCACCTATATACAGAACAGGCACAAAGACAGCAACCACGACATCAACTGACAAACCGCAGGGAAGGCAGGCACACAGGGGCACCAAAGACGGAAACACAGGACCTGGTGAAACCAAAGGAAAAGACACAGGGGGAGCACCAAGAGGAGGGACAAACCCACCAGGGGGCACAAAACCAGGGGAAAGACCCACAGAAGGAACCAAACCAAGAGGGGGCACACCAACCGGGGAAGTGAAGGGACCAGGAGGGAACAGAGGCGGAACAAACAGACGCGGAGTTAACACAGGGGGCACACCGACAGGGGAAACGGAACCAGGAAGCGGACAACCAAAAGGGACCAAACCAGGGGGTAAAGAGGTGAAGGGCGGGGGGATCCAGGGAGTTGAAGGGATCCCAAGCGACCGCGAGGCAGGAGTAGGAGGAACCGGCAGAGGAGATGAGGAGGGACCGCCGGAGGAGGCGGGGAGGGACCGCCGAAGGAGGCGAGGAGGGAGCCGCAGCAGGCAACCCTGCAGCAACAGCCATCACAGGAAGGACCGCAGGCGAGCGACGAGCAGGAGCAAGGGGGCCCGCAGGCGACCGTGGGGGCAGGGTGGGTGGAACCCTCACCCTTTGTCTTTGTGATATGGAGAGAAGACTCCCTCTCCTGAGGCCTCCCTGTTGAAGCAAACTGGCGTTGCGGGGGCTTTTAAGAAGTCTGGCAGCTCGAACGCCAAGGGAGGGGGAAAACCACAGCTGGTACAACTTGTACAGGCGTAATAAAGACCACTTAGTGGTTAAACCTGAAACTGTCTCCATTTCTTAACTGACCTGAAGATGGCTCAGCAACCCTTTTTTGCAGTGGTGTCAGCAGTGGTACTGGAGGAGTATTGACAGCAGAATTGGGGACTCATATTTGTGACTCGTACTTGAGTCACATTCAAGTCACTTTGGCCCCGTTTACACTGCAGGTCTTGATGCCTAATTCCGATTTGTTGCCTATATCCGATTTTTTGGACCGTCTGTTTACGCGGTCTTTTTAATTGTGACCCATATCCGATTCGTGTGTTTACACTTGCTATAATTTCACGCATGCTGAACGGGGGTTTTTGCACGACACCGTAGCCAAGACGGACGAACGCGAAATTTGTTTTATGATA